TAATAAAATAGTACATGTCTTCTCTTTTCAAAGTGTAGGTCAGGATGTTTAACAAAGAAATCCATGTACCAAGTTCTTCAGTAATTGCCAGAGCAGAATAAATTTATGAAATGAGATAGGCCATGAAGCATTTTTATGTTTAAGTCTAAATTCTCATCTCTAAACACCTCTATTAACATAGCAGCTTTGAGTTGCAACCATCCTCCTAATAAAACATGAAATCTTTAAGATTGAGAAACATTTGTAAATAATGGATCCATTAAATATTCCTGAACTTTATTTTAAAACTTATAAGGAGAAATAATAATTGCTTTATATAACACTGACACCACTTTAACATTTGATGAAGATGTTAATTTATGGTTGGTTAGCAGTTTATGGCTGTCAGTAGTTTTTCAGTTTGGTCCACATTAGAAATCTATTTTTCTTTTTTATTTTAATCTAAGACAATTATATAAAGATATGGTTATGTTTTATCTAAAATGTACCATTCTACTATAGCATCTCAAATTATTCACAGATCATAGTTCTTATATGTGCATATATGAATTTAAAAATACAGCAATAAAATGCTTGAAACAGATCATAAATTTGCTTCATATTTTATTGCAGCTCTGAATTAGGTTGCAAAGACAAGGGCAACTATGGTCTTTGGAAAGGAATTAACTCTTTCCCAATCTGGAAGAAGAATGATATCACATGGTGCATAATTAAAACCAAGTCCCCATCAAAGCATCTTGGCGACTTGTGAGACAGACTTGTCCATCACACAGGTACTGGGGCAAAAGGTTGGCAACAGCAAAATCCTCTTTCCTTTTGCTTAACCCACTCTTTGCTCTTCCAGAGCTCTATCATCTTTGTATCACTGTATTTCTCAAATTAAAAGAACACAGGAGATAGAAAAAAAAAAAAGTCACACACACACACACACACACACACACACACATATTCAAGAGTACCTGATAATTTTTGCAACAGTCTCGCAATCTCCTGGGTAGTGTTAACATGAGGTATGTTTGTTTTGTTTTTTTATGTGATAGAATTTATCCAAAATAAACCTCAGGTAAGGCCAGCAAAGAGTTTCCTTGCCCGATGAGGAAGTGAAGAACTCTTGAGGTTTAAGACAGCATCCCCGCGTTTGGGGCGGCCACCGGGGGGTGCTCCTTACAAACCTGGGCAGCTGCTCATGGCCGCGGGGTTGCAGAGGACACCCCAATCCTAGCGCCGCCACCGGGGAAAGAGTTTGAGACAGAGCGCCTGAAGTTCAAAGAGCAGAGAGGTTGGACAGCAATCAGGCAAGTAGGAGGGGCCCTGGACTCCAGTGGAAGGGGAAGCCTGGGAGAGGGTGGCTCTTCTGAGGCTGCGGAAGCCGAGTCGCTCCTGGGGCGCAGAGCGAGCGGTGTGGTGCGGTGCAGGGCGCTCATTGCCATGCGTGTGCTTAGGCTGGTCTGCAGCCCAGGGCGGGCGGGCCTGCTGGAAGGCAGCTCCCACCCCTGGCCTTTCAGGTGCCCCAAAACACACACTTGCCCAGGTTCTGGGCAGATCCTGCTCCTGGTCGTTCCGCCGGCCACACTACCCTGATTCTAGTCAACAACTGCAGTCGATCCGAAGAGCTCAAGCCCGGCAAAACGCACTCCTCAAAGTTATTGGTACCCTTCGGCTGAAGTTACTGAGTCTCCTGGTTGTCCCTCCTCCCTTCTACCGTGCCTAACCTTTGCTGTAAGAGGAGGCCAAGTTTAAATCAACCTTAAGTTCATTGGCTTGGCAAATCCAGGGGCTTTCAAGTTAGAAACGCCAGCGCGCAGAGGGCGCAGGAGACAGGCTCAATTATTATGCTCACATAACAACAACAAAAAAGTTAATTGATGTAAAATTGCTTGGCATGTAGATAATTTAGTCTGACTTGCATTTTAATTAAAAGAAAACTTATTTACGTTTCTGGTGTTTAGGTTTTTGCGATTTAATTTTGTGTAAATGCACCATGAACAGTTGACCCTCAACCCCTGCCTCGCACTTCCCCATCTGAATCATGCTTTCATTAAAGGTTTGACCAAGGAGCCTTGCCTGACTAGGATTCATTGCCTCCCGCGTTCCAAGAGCCCACTTAGCCGTCTCCGCTCGCTCCCTCGCTCCGCCGGGCAGAGCCACCGCGATGTGCTTCGAGCCGAGAGTGAACTCTCATCACTATTTTTCAAAGTCTGGGAAGTGTATTATCCTTTTTCCTAGTGGTAATTAGTTACCATAGCATCTAATACGTAAATGTGCCCAGAGCACACCATTAACAGTTAAACGGAGGATTCAATTTAACACATGATTATATCTTTCATAAGTCATTACATTGGAAAAGTCAGTGCCACTCTGGCTGGGGCAGTCGCGGGGTCGGGGTCGCGTGGAAAGCTTCCGTTCCGCGTCTAAGACCAAGAATACCTGGAGAAGGAAATTCTCCCAGGGGACTTCGGACTGTAGGGATGGGTGGTAGGTGTGACAGGAGGGAGAGGAATTTAAGTGTAACACAGGGTCTCAGAGGGGTTGAACTCCCGCTGCGGGAAACCGAGAGCTGAGCGGGTGAGCGCACACAGAGACACACACACACACACACACACACGCTGGAACACACACCTACAGGCATCACTGGGACAGAGAAGCAGAGGGACAAGGGAGTTCTTTGAAGATGATCGTTTCCTAGTCCTGTAGTAGTAGATGAAAAGCGGAAAGTCTCTGTCGGTACCCGGTGTGAAACTGGGGACAAGTCTCAAGTGAGAAGCAAGTAAAGTGGTCTTCAAGCGGCCACATCTGCCCACTCTCAGTTCCCTAAGGAACACAAGCAGCCTGCGAGACGTGCCTAGGAAAAGCACCCCAAGGCTCAGTGAGTCTGTGGACTGTCTCCCAGGCTGGCCAAGACACCCTAGCTCACGGGGGAATTTTAGGGTCCAGGTTGTCTTCTGTGGCCCAAGGACCACTAAGCAGGAGTGTGCTGCTTCCCCCCGTGGAGTTCATTCACTTGGTCCCCACATTCCCCTGTGCACAGACATCTGGGGCGCAGCTGTGTGGGGGCCAATCTGCAGACCAGGTGGGAATTCAGGGCTCAAACCTAAAAGAAAAGTGCCCCACGGCTGTAGTTTTGAGAAGAGTTGTCTCTCCAACCACCAGTTTCCTTCTCTAAAAGCTGATGCTGAAGAAATTGGGGAAAGTTTGGAGTTAGAGTAAGGAGGGCCACTCAAGTCCATCAGAAAACCCTTTTCCTGTTCCCTTCAGTTGCCACAGGCTTATTCCTACAACCACAAGGCGGCCACCTCCTGAGTTTGGAAAGAAGGTTGATTTGCCTGGAATTATTAAGATGAAAACACATATCATTAACCTTAGTGCCTTGAATAATTAGAATTGTTCTTCTGACGTTTCACCTTATTCTCCACATCCTCTCCTCTTGGCCACTCTCATCCATTTCAAGGCTCTGTCTGGACTTAGACTGGAGTGACTGCAGCATGAGAGGAAGGTGAACATTTCTTTTTCTCTTGCAGTTCAAAAGTGTGTTATTCTGTATACTTTCTGATAATAGTTGAATAGTGCAGAGGTTGTACAGGAAGTATTTCAAGGAGGCCTTAATAAGGAGAAATAATAAGCAGTAAATCTTGCAGCAAATGTGTCCCCTACAATGTTAATATGCAAAAGGGGAAAAAAAATCTGACTGGTGGTGGCTGTGGTTAATTCCTCATCAGAATGATGGACAGCAGGGCCAGAACAATACAAACTAATGGCTGTGTTGCTGATCACTTTACCCCTTGATTAAAGACACCCAATTATGGTGCAGAACAGTGTCGTAATTATGTTTCTTAATCACATCCAGGAGGTTTAATTGCCTTAACGATGTGTTTCATTAAATGAATTTAGGTATTATAGTCGACAGTTTTCATACACAGTTGTTTTCAAATTAACATAATATTAGACATCGTCATGGAAATTGTTTTAATAATCATAATTAGACGCACCCAGGCTTTGTCTGGTAAATGCTGAGAGACGGGTCTCCTCCTGCCTGGGGGCTGCCCTGGTCTGTTCCCTTCTTCTTTCCCCACTTCCAGCCTGGGAGGGCTGCAGCTTCAAGGCCCTTTGCTGTTATGTTTTCTGAAAAGTTACAGGTTCTGATTAATCTTTTTTGATGGCAAGTGGAGCAGAAAATATCCTCGCTCACCCCCCACTAAGTTTGATGGCATTTAGGGATATCCTTATGAACGGAGGCTATACAGACAAAAATGCATTTAGCACAGTAGGTACAGAGCAGACACTCTACCTTGTCACCAATACAGTACACCACCATTACCACCATCTCTGCAACCTCTTCCACAACATATATCACACCTTTGATATTTGAGGGCAATATAAAGGTCCAAATATAAGCCTGTCTACTCATTCTGTAACAGAAGTAGTGCCAAACCCAATCCAAACATCTAGAGATCTCATTAACAAGCAACAGTAGTAAGTTCTGAAAATCTCTGCAGGCATCATTTGTACATATGGTTCAACCTAGCTGATTTCATTTGTCCCCCCAAAAGTGGCAAAGTCACAATAAAACCAGTGCTCAGAGAACCCAACTCCATTTTTCTCCTCTTTTTTCAGGCTTGTGGAGGTAAAAATCATTGTATTAATAACTCTTTAAGAAACTTGACTCTCTTAGCTGGGCCCTGGCATGGTTAGCAATGCCATGCCAGTGGGAAAAGAAATCCAGGTAGAGCCTGACCTCCAAAGTTCATGCCAGCAGCCAGGAGCTCTGAAACCCCGGACCTCTTTTGTATCTCCCCACTGACCCCACTCACCTCTCTTTCCATGGTCATGTCCAGCTATCATCCTTTTAACAAATAAACCAGTGAACTAGGACTCCTAGTTTTGTATCCCTGCTCAAACTTTAGCTCTACCTTCTCTGAAAGTCCTTTCTTTTTGTTACCTTTCAAGCAAAGAGTAACGCAGAAGAGAGGTGATTGCTCCTTCCACAAAGCACAGCATAATAAAATGTTTGATCAAAATATTTTAATAAAGATTCTTTCTGACATAGATACACATACAAACGGTCGTACATAGCTGTCATACTCTGATTGACCTATTTAATATAGAGATATAGATATCATTCTTTACACATCGAAAACCCACCAGAAGATCCATTATAGCTTCCATCTCACCATCCAACCTGACAAACTGAATTTGTATTATCTGCAAGGAGTGGAAAACAGCAGGAATCCATTTCTCAAAAAAGGTTTTCTTGATTTTCATAGGATGGAAAGGCAGGCGAACAGCCATGCAAACTAAAACTGAAAGCTCACTTTGGGTAAATAGCTTCTTGCTCTTCCTTAATTTTCTTTTCTTTTTAAATTTTATCTTTTTTAGAAAAATAACAAAGGATTTCACACCATAGGCAAATCAAACCAGTCTTTAAACTTAAATAATTCTCCACAGTTAAAATAACTTATATATGTACATATACATTAAAAGCAATTAAATTAGACCTTTTAAAAATGCACAGCACAGCCTGGAAAATAATATTTGCTTAGCATGTTCTTACTTATAGGATCTATTGCTGTGATGTCTTTCCCTTTTGGAATGCAAAGAAGTCCCCTTTCAAGAAAGAGATCAATTCATTCATCAATTAAGAATACACCTTTCCTGTAATTTTTGGACTGAAGCAATTTATTAAAGCTCAATTTAAATACAGGGATGATGCAACTGAAAATATCCAGGTGACCTTTCAAAAACCTAAGCAGCTCAGATACATCAATATTCTCTTCATACTTGTTGGCAAATAAACCTTTAAGCACTTGGCACACAGTATAAGTTAATCTATAAAACAGAATTTTAGAGGCATTAAAAAATCTGCACATAAGACTCATAACCTTAACACATGATAAATCTTGTTGATGTGGAAGGTTCATTGAAGAATAACAAATAAATACCATGAATTGTTAATACATCATTGCAGAGTAGAAAGTAACAAGGTGCACATAAATATTTTTAAATGCAATTCTTTCAGCCACAGTCAGTTTTTTATATCACTCTCGCCAAAACTTTGAGCATTTTCACAGGATTAAAAGTTCAGAGACAATAAAAAATACAAGTCTTTCATAGCAACGTGACTCTCGCTCTCTCTCCCCTCTCTCTGGGTAACCCCCCCCCCCAAGTCAGTCTACATTTCAAGTTTTTCTCCTGGCTCAGAATGAAAATTTATTTTCAAGTGTCCTTTCTGATTTGTCTGAATGAATAGCCTGTCCTACATGCCACCCAACCCCAAACGCCTCCTGTTCGCATCAGCACCAGCTCAATTCACAAATAATAGTAGGGTTAGTATTTTGCCATTCAATACTCTCCACGCTTAATAACCAAGCACTACTTCTCAACTTATTTTTCACCTTTAAGGAAGACCCCACTTCCTCGCAGTTTAGAAGTTGCCACTTTTCTGGAAAAAAAAAAAAAAAAGACATCCCTACTCCATCCCAACTCCACTTCCCTCCTCCCTCCCTCCCCACCCCGAAAGACCGAGATTCAGGGGATGTCCAGGCTAAAAGTCCCGTTTGTCTCTGATAACTTCTCAGTTCTTGCCTCTGTTTTGTCTGCTCTCCAAGTGTTTCACAACTACGAGAGGATCATAATAAAGGGGGGTGGGGAGCAGCTTTTCGCGTTCCTCTAGCTTTTGGGTCCGTCTGTGTTTTACGGGGGTGTGTTTAAGGCTTCTCCGTGCACTGTTTGCAGAGGCTGGAGGAGACGCTGTTGAACAGGGCGCACTTCTCCGGACAGGAGGCGGCCGGGGGTAGCCCGGCGCTGAACGGGTAGCCCGCCGCCTGCTCATAGGCGCCGAGCGCCGGGTGCAGGGCAGCGGCGGCCGCCGCCGCGGCCGCCGAGCTGGGGAGGGAGGCGGCCGAGATGGCCTGGCCCTGATTGAGGTAGGCGACGAGGCGCCGCATCTCCTCCAGGGCCTGCGCCTGCATGAGGATGTAGTTCTTGGCGAGAAGCAGCGTGGCGATCTTGGAGAGCTTCCGCACCGAGGGGCTGTGCGCATAGGGGATCACCGCGCGCAGCTCGTCCAGCGCGTCGTTCAGGTCGTGCATCCGCCGGCGCTCCCGGGCGTTGATGTTGAGCCGCAGCGCCTTCTGCTCTTTGGATTTCTTGCTACTGCTGCTGCTGCCCCCGCTGCCCCCGCTGCTACCCCCGCCGTTGCCGCCGCCGGGGCCCCCCGGGGGGACGCCGGCGCCGCCGTGGAGGTGGGCGTTGGAGCAGCCCTCGGCCGCCTTGGAGCCGCCGCCTCCCGCACCCGGGGAGGCTCGTGGGTCGGTGCCTCCGGCCCGCAGCACCAGCTCGCAGCGACCGTCGCTGTCGTCGTCGGGGCTCTGCTCGCCGCCGCTGCTCTCGGCCACTGAGCCCCGGCTCGCGCTTTCGCCGTATTTGAGGCACAGGGCGGCCCCCGCCGTCAGACTGCTCAGGCTCGGGTCGCCCCCAACGCCGGCTGAGCCCACGAGCAGCCCGGGGACACCCACCCCTCCGCCGCCGCTGCCGCCGCCACCGCCTCCCGCGCCGCCGCCGCCGCCGCCGCCTCCACCTCCCCCAGGCGGCGGCAGCAGCAGCCCTGCCCCCTCGGGGTCAGCCGGCTCGAAGCAGCCGAGGGGCGAGGAGGAGGAGGACGCCGGGCGTTCCCGAGGCGGCGGCGCCAGGGACAGGTCCATGCCCGGGGGCGTGGAGCGGAAAGCTGCCTCCAAGCGCTTGGCGGTGGAGGCGCTCAGGCTCTTGTGCAGGAAGAGGTCGTCTTCGCCCGCGGCCGCCGCGCCGAGGTGCAGCCCGCGCTCCATGGTCCGTCGCCGGCGCGCAGCCTGGGCCCGGCGCGCCCGCCGCCGCCGCTTCGGCTCGGGAGTCAGGCGGCCCCACAGACGCGCGCGAGCCGGGCTCCGGAGCTGGTGCGCGCGTTGGTCCCGGTGCTGCCGGCAGCCCTCTCCCCTTCTTTCTTTTTCTTTTTCGCCTTCCCCCGCGCTCGCCGCCTCCTCTTCTTCTTCTTCTTCGTCTCCAGCCGATGGTGCCGGCTGCTGGGGCTCACCATGGGCCGCGGCCCCGCATGGTGGGAGGGTGGGCGCGGAGGGAGTGAAGCCGCCGCCGCCGCCGCCGCCGCCGCTCTGAGCCCAGCCCCGCGCCTCCTCTCCGCACCGTTTATCTTGCTTGGATTCACCTTCAAGAGATTTCCGGACCCATCAACCAGCCGCCGCCACAGACGGGGGAGTCTTTTACATCATTATCTCTGAGTAGGTTATTATGAAGAAGACTCGCCTGTTGGGACAGCGCTTTCTACCCAATCAGGTTAACGTTTTAATTAATAGGATTAAAACGGTAACAAACAATCGCAGGCGCTATCTGGCCGCGAGTCTGAATAGTTTCATTTCCCAGGTCTGAAGACAGGCAGCAGCTAGAGCTTTATAAAAGGCGCCTGCTCCATTATTCTGCCTGCCATCTGTATACACAGCTTAGCGCATATGTTTGCAAGGCGCTGGGTCCTGTTAGTAACCCAACAACTGCCTTTAGCTTGACATGTGTGGCGACTTTCACTCATCAATGAGCACACTAAAAGCCCTACTTAGAGCCTAGGATGTTCTCTGCTCCTTCAGCAAATTGTAGATCGGCGGCGGAGCCTGGGAGTCCCCTGGAAAGCAGACGCCCCCACCCCCACTGCCCTTCCCTCCGCTGCCGTCTCCCGCGTGTGCTAAGCTACCCTTCCTGCCCGAGAAGTGCACCCCACCCCTAGCGTGGGATGATGACTCCGAGCTGAGTGAGGAGATGGGACTTCCCAGGAGGGAAGGTGGGGGTCCCAGCTGCCTTGCTCCAAATCTACCCGAGATTTGCAGCTAGTGAGAGAGCAAAGCACTCTCCCCCCCGCCGCCCTAAATAAATCCTGTGCTTTATTTCTACACCTCCAACTGCCCAGTTACTACCCGAAATAAAGAGCGAATGGGTTATGCAGCCCGTTGGATTTAAACGGGGCCAGGGTGATGAGGGGAGTCCTTTTGCAGCCCTCTCCAAGGAACTGCTACCTGTGATGGTGCTTCCTAAACAGGAAGAAACTGGCTTCCCAAACTTTCTTCAAAACTGAAAACCAGTTTCTGAAGCGTCAACCGCACCAGAAGCCAAATCCTCTTACACACCAAGGATTGTGTGTGTGTGTGTGTGTGTGAACGTACATGAGTGTGTGCGCGCGCGCGGAGGGTGGGGGTTGCTTTATGCATATTGATTTACCCGGAAACTCAACGGTCAGAGCCAGAAAGCCACCAAGGGACCTCTGGGTCAGCCTCGGTGGTTGTCAGAGGGTTAGGGAAGGGAGAACCACGGAGGCAAGCGCTCCTCCCCATGCGGAATGGTACACGCCGTCATCTCGCTCTCTCGGTCTCTGGGAGCACACGGTACTCAGCAGCTGGTTCTCATCCTTAGGACATAAGTAAAAACAATATTTCCCAACACCTCCAATAATTCTTTCTTATGTGGCAGAATTACTGAAGGCTGTGCAATTTTTGGTTTCTCCGGTTTCATTAAAAACCTTTTAATTGTGGCTTTCAGAGTTGGCCCCAGGTGCTGGACTCTTTTCATTACATTTTGCTCTAATGTGATGAAATTCTAATTCTCTCCTTACCATATGGTTAAATTTCCCCACTGAGAATTAGTTGAAAAAGGAGAAATAATCTATTAATCTCTGTAATAGATTCACAAATGAGGTTCGCCACAGAACCTGTTTTTGAATGGTAATATCAGAACAGTTGGGCGCCTTATTTCATAAAGGAAGGGTAAGGGCGACACAGAAACGTCTGCATTTTCACCTGCAAAGGGTGATAAGGGGCCCCGGTGTTCTCTTTCCAAAATAACTGCGCGGGACTCCAGGGGACAGAAATAATACCCTGTCGTCAGTTGCCTTCGCGCTGTCGGAGATGCAGGAAGCCAGAGGCTGAGAGCGCGAACCGGCTGCGAGGGAGGACCCCGGCCCGTCTGGGCTGGAGGTGGAAGGTTGCCCACGGTCCCCCTGGGGATCCAAGGGCTTGTTTTCGTAGAGAGAGGGCTGCCGGGTGCTCAGGGCTCTCCCCCGCTTTCTCCAGGCGCTGGCAGCTGTTAATTTCTCTCTCTCTCTCTCTCTCTCTCCCCCAGCTAAAGACGCGCTGGTACTACTGTTTTTCAATTAGCAGCTTGTTTTCACTGCGATCATACACCCAGGTTTTCCATAAACAGAGGTGCGTCGTGTGTGTGCCTAATCCTAACTTCAGAATCTTCGGGCCACTTGCAGCAGCCTGGAGGTTGGCAGTGTCGTAGCTCTGGGCCGGGGCTGGGTGGGTGGCGACACGTTTCTTAGTGTCTGACTTCATTTTCCACTCAGCCGGCATTTGTTGTGGGCTAGCACTTTTTACAGGGCGCCTGGATTCCTGCCGGTCCCAGCAGTGGACACTTGAAGAGCCCAGGATACACTGTGCCCGGGGCCTTGGTGGCAGCGCGGGGCTTAGCCGCCGGCGCCACACAGGGCTTTGCTCTGTGACTTCGGGCCGGGCACATATGGGGCGACACCGAGGGAGGCCAAAGCGCCCCCGGCCTGGGTTAAGGCCAGGGCTCTTAGAGAACCTTAGTCTTTCATTGGAATCAGACAACTCGACCCCACCCCGAAGACTCCTTCCCACCCACCCGCCTCCTGAGCCATCCAAACCTAAGGAACAAACTTTTACTCAACTTTCTTTCACCCAGGAACCAGGGGTCTCTTTGTTGTGCGGTTCAGGAAAATCTCCCTCGTCTCCCTGGAGGAGGTGGCTTGTTTAATAGTCGCTGGAAACGGCCGGAGGATTTATAGGAGCTCTAAATGCAGGCCTTGTAGCAACCGTCGGGGAATGGTCTTTGAGGTTTATGCTCTCGTAAACTTTTGCTGATTGCTTCTGGGAAGTCGTCAGACACTTAACACTGCATTTATCTTCCAGGGCAATGAAAACACATCTGCCCCGTGTCTCGTTACCTGGTTGAATCGTCGCCAGCCCTAAGTCACGGCCTGTGCGCCCACTCTCCTCTTGTGTGGTACCCAGCCGCCGCCTCCGCCGCCTCCCGGTTTCCTGCAGGTTTGGAGGGTGACGTCAGACGCTCACTAAGTGCCGCCTAGGCGCAGGAGTGCGGGATACCTGCGCGTTCCAACTTTATTCTCCCAGAAAGAGGGCAAAGAGCCCAAGAACAGTGGCAAAGAGAAAGGCAAAACCAGAGCCTTTTTGTTGCTTGGGCGTCCGGGCTGGTAATTCAGCCCAAGGCAAATAATAATAATGAAAATGATAATGATAATAATCCTGACCCACCCGTGACCCTGTAGAAGGAAAGCTCGGAAGGGAAATCCTGGCTCCCCGCAGTTTCAGAGTGGGTCGCCGTGTGTTCCGCAAGCGGCGGGGGACCGGAGACGCAGGGGGCCGTTCCCTCTGCCCGCAGCAGGGTAGGGCAGCTCCGGTGTGGGCGCGGGCACCCCTGGCCGGGCGCCTCTGGCGCGAGGAGCGATGGTTTAGGAGGCCGGTGGGCCACCACTCCGGAAAGGAAGCTCTCTCGGCCCGGGGTTGGATACAATACTATAAACGCCGGAACGTGTTGGCTAAAGGGGAACACAGTTTTGTTACTGCGGGAAGGATTCGGAGATGCCCAGCCAGCAAAGCTGCACTGAAAAGCACCAGACTGACTCTGGGTCGCGTTTACATTTCTTCGCTATTTGCCTGAAATCTGGAGCCCAAAGAAAATGAAGCACCTTTAAGGTGCAAAGCCAGGAGCTGCTGTCTGATAAATAAGCAAATAAATCGTTTATTCCTGATCTAGATTAAAAAGTTAGAAGAATCTCTGATTTGGAGAGGTGTGTGTGTGTGTTTGAGAGGAAGAATTGGATCTCTATTTAAGAACATTCTAAAAAGTGAATACAAAGTTTACCAAAAATGGCATCAACTTTCTCTCTGAACAAACCTTGGAACAAGCGAATTCCCTGAGAGCCCTGGGAATCCTCTCCGGGCAGGCAGAATCCTACTAAGAAAGTCTCTTCTTCCGGCACCGCGGAGACCCCAGGGCGACCCTCTCAGAGAAACCCCAGGGGAGGTGCCGGGTCAGTGCGGTTTGGCTGCCTTGTCTCATCCTAGCCGCGGAAGCAAGAGCGCGCCCCCCAGAGTCCAAGGGCCACGCACGCTTCGTTTTGCTGCAAACCCAGGTCAGCACATTGACCTTGAGTTACGTGTGCCTCGCCCACCCTGCACAGTCTGGCGGCGCCTGGGCCGGCTTAAAATCCACGGGCCCCAGGAAGCCTGCTGAATGGGCTCACCATCCTGCACCCCTGCCGGGTTTGGGAGCACAGGACCCACTTGACAGTAGAGACCCAAGCCCCAGAGGCCTTTCGCTTTCGTCTTATCGTCAGTATTTTCTCACCTTCTTCACCAGGTCTTGTAGAGTTCACTGAGAGAGACTCCTAGTGCACGTGTGTATCCAGGGCCTGGCGCAGCTAATGAGGCGGAGCGCAGCGCAGGTGCAGGGGCCGCGAGACCAGCCCGGGCTGGGACATCGCTGGCAGCGCGCCTGGGGCGCCAGCCTCGCTCTTGCGCCGGGGCGCTCGGCAACGTCTACGATTTTGACCGTGGAAAAAAGTTGAAACTTGTTGATGGAAAAGTCCTTCGAGGTTTCTCTTTCATTTGTTTTAAAGACCAGAGGCTGGACCCGGGCACTGTTTCCAGACGAGTTAGCCTAGGTTTGAACAGACAAGGAAGAGAAACAGTCGGGCTCAGAGTTTTTTGTTTGTTTCTTTGTTTTTCCCAGGGTGCTGCGTACTAGGGCGGCCCAAGACCGTCGCGAAGGGCTCACTGGTTGCTCCTACCTGGGATTTCCGATCTTGGCGACTTTCAAGGCGAGGGGGTTGATAGGACAAGCGGATAACGGGGAGCCTGCCAATCTCAGAGGACAAGGTCGGATGTACAGATAGTAAGGGAAGAAAACTAAGGAAAAGAGTTCATTAAGATTTCACTCCTGCCTTACTGACTTGGAACAAACTTGTCTTGAGTTCTCCCCAGGGGC